TCGAGGATTTTATATTCTAGTTCTAAGTTTAGAGTTCAATTCTTCCAAGTTTGGGTTAGAAACCTCTGACTCTGTGATTGTTTCTTCCATCAGAACATTATTTTACTATAATGACACTGCTTCCTTGTCCTTCTCTTTTCCTATAGACTGTGAGCATCTTGAGTTTTCAGCACCACTGGATCACCATTTCTTAACACAGTGCATAGTGCCTAATAGATACCCAGTAAATATTTGTTGCATGAATTGATGGATGAATGAGACAGACCAATGAGTAGATAGAGAATGAGAGTGAGCTTCTGTTCACTGTTCCCAGTTTGCTTTATGCTTTGCTTTCTTAGTTTTGTCCAGTGTATTTACTGCTTGGAGAACCCTGAAGATTCCATATAGGCCAAGGTGCACAGTGCTCAGTGCAGAAGCACGTGACAGCCAAGTCTAGGAAAAGATGCTTCCCTGCTATTTCTTCCCAGCCAGAAGCATAAAGAACTGCCTGTGTAATTTGTGTTATTGGACACCAAGACATCAAGGGTGCACCACAGGGACTGACTGTGGACTTGTAAGCCTGTCTTCCACTTGCCATATTTAGAGCTTTGGCCAGATTGTATGCATTTCTCAACTCTAAATTTCTGCCTTTACATTATTGTAGTAGGAGGTAGTGTGGGTAGTGGTTAGAAAGGTGGAATTTGGAATCAGTCTTAGATTTTAGGCCTATGTCAATACTAGCTGTATGAGGTTAGTTTAATCACTTATCTGAGATTCAGCTTTTTCACCCACCTCATAAGTGTTTGTAAGGCACTTAAAGCAAAGGAAATACTTAGTAAATGGTTTTCACTATTGTTGTAGTCCACATTTCAGTAGGGCATCCAGAGCCAGTGAGGTTTCCTCTGGGTACTGATTCTTACAGATAATCCCTATTGAATCCCTTTTACTACAAAAAAGCACGTGAATCACCTGTTATCCCAGACGCCTTCTCTGTGTTTACCTACAGAGAAGGGCTTAAGGTGTTGTCCTCTCATTCTACAGATATGGAAACTGAGGCCCAAATAGGTGATGTGGTGTGTCTTTGTGCCATATGATGAGTTTGTAGCAGAGTTGGCACTGGTCCCCTTTTCTTCTGATAGTGTCATTTCTCATTCAATAGAGGGGTTTCCACTTAGAGAGATGGAGATGTTCCACATTTCTTTCACATCCTAGCCAAAAGCAATCAGTCTACCAGAAGTTTCCATGGGGTAAGCACAGAGGCTCTCTCTTCATCAGTGTCATACCTTTGGAAAACTATCTCCAGTGTAGATAAAAAAGCAAAAACAGAAAGAATAAATATTTTTGTTGAGAGAAAAAAATGAAGACAAAGGTCAAAGGGAAGCATGTATGGGCTGAGTAAGGAAAGAAAAAGAAAGCATTTTTTCTCTCTTGTCTTTTTCTCCAAAACAGTCTTTACATAGAACTTATATAAGAGCCAATTTATTTGATATGGATAAAATGTGAAAGCAGCAAAATACACATACACACACAAAGAGATATTTGCGGTGGGGTTCAAAACTCAAATTACAAAGAGATAAAGGAGTTGAAATGGTAGGTTGATTTGGAAGGATACGTTTCTCTTTTTTCAGTCTCAGAGAACATTCAGGTCAGGAAGCCCAGACCAGCCCAGCCAAGTCCATCCCAGCCCAGCCCAGTCCAGATCTCCAATAAACTCCTTGGGACACCAAAGATTCAAAGAGGAAGGCCCATGAAAGCCTCAGTCTAGCCCTTGTGCCTGTCACATAGTAGGGATTAAAGAAATATTTGGAGAGTGAATGAAAGAACAAATTGTGTGTCAGAGTGTTGACCTCAATACTGACGGGTTGGCACAGTACATGGCACTTTTACAAAGTGGGTAGGAGTTCAGCACTTAAGTTTGAGTGCCTCAGGAAAGGGTCTGGTCTGAGTCATCCTAATACTGTTTCCAGTACAGAATCTGGCATATAGAATGTTCTCAGTGCATATTTGTAAATTGAGCACGTAGTTACTTGAGTGAAAGAGATCCCTGGGCCTTGGAGATCACTTAGAGCAGTGGCTATTAAACTTTAACTAGCACCCAAATTACCGGAAGAGGCCCTGCACTCAGAGTTTCTGATTCACTAGGCTGGACTGGGGCCTGAGAGTCTGGCCTTTCTCAGTCCCCAGGTGATACTGATGCTGTTGGTCTGGGGCCACGCTTTGAGAACTTGTTTTACTGCACTGGTTTTTAAAATTGGTTGCAAATAATAATCACCGCATGAGATTTTAAAAATTCTAAAGGTCAGACCCTATTCTTAACCATTAAATCAATATCTAGGAGTGGGGAGATAGAGAGTAGAGATGGGATGCAAGTGAGACCCAAACAATTCTTAAAGGTCCCAAGTTTTTTAATGTGCAATCCAAATTGAGAAGAACTGGCTGGGTGCGGTGGCTCATGCCTGTAATCCCAGCAATTTGGGAGGCCAAGGAGAGCAGATCATGAGATCAGTTCTCAAACCAGCCTGGCCAACCTGGTGAAACCCTGTCTCTACTAAAAATACAAAAATTAGCCCAGCCTGGGGGGCATATGCCTGTAATCCCCGCTACCCGGGAGGCCGAGGCAGGAGAATTGCTTATACCCGGGGGGCGGAGGGTGCTTTGAGCTGAGATTGCACCACTGCACTCCAACCTGGGTGAGAGTGCAAGACTGTCTCAGAAAAGAAATAAAAAAGAGAGAAGAACTAATCTAGTGCAACCTCCTTTGTGCAAAATTGAGGCATCTGAACACTAGAAAGGACAAGTGACTCACCTAAGAGGGCAGAACCAGTTAGTGATTTAGCTGAGATTTAGTTGAGAATAGAACTAAGTTAAATCACTAAGGGTGCTTCATTTATTCAGTTTAATTTTCACCATTCCACACTTATCACCCCACGGCAGCTCTCACAGGGTCATAACTTGACGCAAAAAATGAAAGCTGAGTTTAAACTGAGGTTTTAAAACATCTATTATTTCTCCCCTCCACTGTTTTATAAAGGAAGTTTAAGTGGAAGCGTATTTATAGAACTCGACCAGTCTAGACAAGTGAGGAGATGGAAGAGACAGGGCTATGGAATGTTTTTAAGGCAAGACCATCCTTAAAGTTTTAAGTACGTTCTCAAACATAAATGAAGTGCTCTTTCTGAGTTCTTCAACAGATGTGCCTCATCTCTGATCCAATGAATTAGCAAGAGTTTGCCTGTGATGTGCACATTCATTGCTAGCATGTAAAGGGAAGTGCTGGTGAAGTGTTTGAAAGTGGTTCTGCCCCTAAAAAAGATTAAAAGTTTCCCCTAGAACTTGGTTTCCATTAATAATTGGCTTAGTAAATATTTTCAAGTAGACAGGGCAGAGATTGTCTTGTATTATTTTAGAACCAAATAAACAGTCACAAAAGTCCTATGGAAACCATTTACTTCAATATTTTCATCACAGAGAGGAGGAAATCGAGGCTCAAAGAGATTGACTCATTTATCTAACATTAGTAAGTGGACTTGTTGGGGCAAGGGACAAGATGTCTTACTCCTGAGCTACTCTTCTTTCCAATATTCAAAGAGTCCCCTATCAATGTCCCTTGTATATAGGAGATACTCAATAAATGTTTGGTGATTGACTTCATAGACTCTGGGTAACTAATTTCATAGACACCCAGATTACATGATGAAGCTTCTATCCTTTTGTAAATTAAAACAGAAGTTGGAATCACATCTTTAATTGAACATCAGCTGAGCGCACTGGCTTAGGAGTCAGAATGAAATTCCAATCCTTGCCTTCACCGCTTCCTAACTGTGTGATCGTGGACAAGTGTCTTCAAATCTCTAAGCCCCAGTTTTCTTCTTTGTAAAATAAGAATAATAGGGCTGTGGTTGTGGAGAGGATGAAATGAGTAAAAGATGCAAGGATCTTAGCCCATTTTCTAGCACACAGCAAAAGCACTAATGGCTTCATAACAAGATGGTCTTTCTCCTAAGACAGAAATTCTGAGGATGTTTGGGGAAGAAGTTTGGAGAGGTGGCTTAAGAAGTGAGTAAATTTTTTTTTGTTGTTTTTTCTGAGATGGAGTTTCACTCTTGTCGCCCAGGCTGTAGTGCAATGGCATGATCTTGGCTGACTGCAACCTCTGCCTCCCGGGTTCAAGCAATTCTCCTGCCTCATCCTCCCAAGTAGCTGGGATTACAGGTGTGTACCACCATGCCCAGCTAATTTTTTTGTATTATTAGTAGAGATGGGGTTTTACCATGTCTGCCAAGCTGGTCTTGAACTCCTGACCTCAGGGAACCCACCTGCCTTGGCCTCCCCAAGTGGGTCACTGCCCCAGCCGAGAAGTGAGTATGAAAGACAAGTACTACTTCACGTAAGAGCAGTGAGCATCCAAAAAGAGTTAGGGAAATCTAGAGCTGCAAAGGTCCTAAGGGTCACATGGGTTTGAACCACTGTTCTGCCGCAGGAAATAAGATAAAAACAAGTGCTGTTACTGTTGATGTTCACTTTCCAGCACAATTTTTGTGCAAATCCCTGGGACTGTGCCCAACCGCCAGTCAATCTACTATAACTTCAGCCCGAATTCACCCACTGAAAAAGCAATCAAAATGCATAAATTGTCTTCAATTTAAAAGAAAAAGAAAATCATTAGCAAACTTCAGTTCTTCTACTTACGTTAGTAATAAATGATTTTCTCACTGTTACTCTCATCCAACCTCCTTCATTTACTATTGGAATGACTAAGATTAAGAGAGGCTTATGAGGCTTAAGATCACACATCAGATTTGTCACCAAATCCTGGTCTAATGGTTCCTTGCCCGTTGCTCTTCTCATGATATCAACTCTGCCATGTTAAGATAAATCTACACCCAATGATGGGTTACAATCCCTAGAATGAGTGTTGCTGTGACGAACCTTCCCTTTCCTGTCCAGGCCTCTCTGACCTGCCTCACGTTCCTCCACAACCCACCCACTTAACAAACTCCCCATTCAGAGAGTACACTTACGTGTCTACGAATTTCCTGTTGAGATGTAGGATGGAGGCCACATCTGCCTGGAGAGGAGGGTCCCGGACCACCTTATACTGCAGGGGCTTACACTGTAGACACAGTGGGGTGTCTGCAAGGGAGGTCAACATGGCAGCATCAATCTCCAGGTGCTCGTCCAGCGTATAGATTTGGATGCCATACACCTCCTCACCCATGTCCTGGAGTCTGATGGTAAGTGGGATGTCACAGAAGACATACTGAGGACCCAGGGAGATGTTCTTCCCACTGACAGTCAACAGTTTGATGTCATTGACAGCTCCACTGGGGTCCCAGTCAGTGGAGACAAAGGTCACCCAAATGGTCAGAGACTCAGGGACCAAGGGGTAGAGGAATTCCAGTTCCAGGTAGCAGCCTTGTGGCTCAGGGCAGGCTGGAGGAACCGTATGTGGGTTGACAGCTGCATTAGGGCTCCAGGTGCGGACACTGGACTTACAGGGCTGTTCAACATCAGGATGACCTATGGAGAAGAGATGAGGGAATGAGTTCTTGAGGAAAGAGCTTTATTCTCATCCATAGTGTTTCCTGTGGACCCCAGGAGAAATTGGCCTGACTAGAACTTAGACAGAAGGGAAAAGGAGAGGAAGGTTTTAGTGTCTTGGTTTTAGTGTCTTGATCTGCTATATACACAGCATCCACCTCATCCCCATCCTTGCGATACAGATTTCAGATTAATCACCAGACATTCAGTCACACTGCTTTCGTCTCACTGTCGAGTTGATATTCAAACTTTCCTTCCTCATCTTCTACTTGGAGGCTGTGCTGTCTAAGATGAAAATAAGTAAAGGGTACACTTGGCTAAACACCCACTGCATTCCTTGAATGTCTCTAATTCTTGTAAGAACTTATTTAGGAGGTGAGAAAAGAGGCTCCCAAATACAGACTGAATCGATCAGGTTCACGCAGCTTGAAGTATAAAGGTCAGCATTAGAACCGAGTTTTGCCCCTTTTTGAAATCTGTACTGTTTGTCTATTAGATGTAGGGGACATTAGAATAAATTAGAATCCCTGTAGTATTACTGCCATTGGTAAAACCCACTTGACTGACAGAAATCCGGACATCCACCCCGCCCACCAGCAAAGAATACGTGAGCATAAATAGCATCCACCCTGCAGACTGAGGGCCTGGGAGGAAACCATCTAGAACCATGAACAACAGAGCTGGAAGGCAGCCTGGGAGCCCTCTTATCTCTCCTCCTCCCCTTCCCTACATGCGGTCATTCCATACCACTGAGCTTCTCCCGGCTCTGTTCTGTCTGGAAGGGGAGGGTTGGGTGAGGAGTGGGGAGAAGGAAGGAGGGATTCTTCTCCTCCTTCTCTAGGGAGATGATGCCTCATCCCCATTGATCTCAGCCTGCAGCAACTTCTGAATTTTTCTCTGCTGAGATCACATCTAGACCCCTAGAGAGCTCTTCCTTATACTACTGAGAAAAAGAGCCAGGACTCAATGGAGTGATTGGCTCTAATTTGTTTAAGGGAGCCTCATGAGAAAGACAGACCAGACGGTAAGGGGAAGGACCTCAAGTTGTCCAATGAGCCACCTTAAAAAAAAAAAGAAAAAGAGATGGAGTCCTGCCCTATTGCCCAGGCTGGAGTGGAATAGGCTCATCAAAGCTCACTGCAGGCTGAAAGTCCTAGGCTCAAGTGATCCCCCTGCCTCAGCCTTCTGAGTAGCTGATATAGAGGCCTGTGTCACCATGCCCACTTAGCCACATTCTTTTTTTCTTCAGCATCAGTGGTACGTTGGGAGGATAGTGGCAACCCTGGATATTTCTGAAGCAAATAAGAAAATAAAAAAGAAAAGATATTTGCTTTGAAATGTTTTGTGGTAATGTTACAGCATAATAGGAATCACTATAATATTAATACTAGAAAGTTATTTGGAGTGAAAAAACTATGCCAGTGAAGGCTATAAATGCCTCTAACCTCCTTGCCTCTGCTTAGCCAAGGAAAGAGAGAAGCCACCAAGTGGTGATGGAGAAGAGAAGAGGGAAAGAGGAGGGCCAAGAAAATATACAGAAACTTGTTAGACATAATGCATCTGAGCAAGAGAAGATGGATTTAATTACAAGATTTCCTCTATCTCCTCTTGGCCAGTTTCGTTCATTATTTGCAGCAACTTCTGGCTCAAAGCAACCCTTAGTTTAGGGGAAAAACACAAGTAGGACTTCCCACCTAGCTGAAGCCTTTCTTCTTGTCTACTTTTTAACCCCTGAGTTCCTGACTCTCTTAACTTTGTGGGATGTTGACACACATGTGTCACTTATTCATTCAGTCCACGTCATTGAAGGCAGCACTTTACAGTATATGAAACACATCTCCTAGTCATTAGCTAACACATCTGATTGTCATCAAAATCCTGTAGAGAGTTGTCATTTTTGCCTCTATTAAAGAGCAGTGGTTCACGCAATGCCATGTAGCTTCTGCTTTAAACAGTGTGCCTGGTCCACAGAAAATTCACGCAGTGGATGCTCAATAAATATTTGTTAAAGGAAGGACCTTCTAACCTGTTAACATCGAGTTAAAAGTTACAGCATGGAACATCAGAGCATGCTTCCTGATGGTGGGTGCCAGGTGAACATTCCACCCCTCCATGGGCTTTCTTCTCCTGCAGCTGCCAAGGGATAACGTAATCTTTCTCCCTTCCCTGGAGAAAATGACTGTCAGTGGTAGGAAGCCACAGGAGAGCAAAGATGACAAATCTGCCTGGCTCATCCTTCCTCCCTAGTTTCTTGTTAATCAACAGAGGGACCAAATGCTTCCAAAGGACAGAAAGGTGAGTCTGGTCATTATGCTCCAGCAAGTAAATAGGAGTAGAAATCTTAACAAAGCTTGTGGTTGTCTGGTTATTAGAGGCAAACCCTTAGATGTAAAAAAGAGTCCCGAGAAGCATTGAGTGTAACCATAATCAAAACGGCAACCTCATTAATAATGCCAGCCTTCATGAATTGCCCATCCTCAATGTGCAGGCGCTGTGCCAAGCACATTACATGCCTCAGGTCTTTTTACACTGGCACTAAGTCTGTGACGCAGGTCGTATGAAATTCATTTTACAGAAGAGGAAACTGAGACTCAGATGGTTTAGAAATTCCCTGGCAGGGAGTAGAATATAATATTGTAGGTCCAGGCAGTGTGCCAGGCTTTGAAGCAATGAAAGCTGGGTTAAAATATCAGTTAGAGAGTTTCTCATTGAGTTACCTACTGAAATGTTACCTACCTCAGGGTGGCTGGAAACCTTGAATAGGATGAGATCTTTAATTGATGCTCACAAATATATTAGCCCTGTCCTGGAAAGTAGGGAGGTATTAACAAGGAAAAAATGTTGGTAAGAGGAGGTATTCCAAGCAAGAGAACAGTTGGGAGAGAGTGAAATTTAAGGTGACTATGAATTTGAGTGCAATTGTAGAGCAACAAGTGCTGAGGCTGGTAAGCTAAGTGGAACCAACACTGTGAAGTAGCTTGTATGCCACATTAAGAAAACTGAACTTTATACTGAGATAGATGAAGAGCAACTGAGAAATTTTGAGCCAATGAGTGACATTCAGAGTCGCCTTTTAGAAAAACCACTGTTGGCTGAGTGCGGTGGCTCATGCCTGTAATCCCAGGACTTTGAGAGGCCGAGGCAGGCGGATCACTTGAGGTGAGGAGTTCAAGACCAGCCTGACCAACATGGCAAAACCCCATCTTTGCTAAAAATAAGAAATTAGCTGGGTGTGGTGGCACATGCCTGTAGTCCCAGCTACTTGGGAGGCTGAGGCAGGAGAAATGCTTGAACCCAGGAGGCAGAGGTTGCAATGATCCCAGATTGTGACATTGCACTCCAGCCTGGGCAACAAGAGTGAAACTTTGTCTCGAAAAAACAAAAACAACAATAACAACAAAACACTGTTTAGAGACACAAACACTATTCATCCTTCCATCCATCCATCCAGCCAGCCAACCAGCCATGCATCCATCCAACCATCCTTCCATCCATCCATGCATTCAAAAAGTAACTACTGAGTGCCAGGTGTGTGTCCAGAGGTAGGCTAAGCTCCAAGAGAATAGATTTCCCAACATGATTTCTGTTCTCAGGGAGCTTTTAGTCTTGTGATACCATTTAGGAGAGTATTGCACTAATGCAGACAATGTATGGACTTCAAGAAACCATGCAAGGAGAGGGCAAGTCAGAATTCTTAAGGAGAAAAAATGAATACAGCTGGAAGATTGATTGGACACATAGTTGCAAGGTGAGGATGGAAGATGAGAAGCAGAAACAGAGAAAGAAAGGTGGATGATAAGGAAGGGGGAGTGGGAAGGGTGGAAGGAAAGAAAAGAATAAACATAGAAGAAAAGAAAAATAAGTGCAAAAGCCCTGCTGCTTCATTATTAATAGATACCGTTTGTATATGTGATGATTAAATGAAAAGTTACATGTTTATATAGGATGTCCACTGGAAATAAGGTCATATATGTGTATAGACATATATATTGACACACATTCATGCCAATCTACATTTACATTTGTGAAGCCCTATATAGGAATCTGTTATATATCTTTGTATATATACACTGCAGCTGTTGACAAAATATAAGTTATAAAAACTTGGCACCAAGCTTTTTTCCAGGTAAATAGTTAAGCACACCTGAAACATTCTGGGCAGAAAAGTAGAGAAAACACACAAATGAGAAAAAAATGAAAACAGTGCCATGTGTTAATCTCTCATGGAAAACCCAACACTTGGGATCTATTTTATACTTACATAAGTGATCTTAACTGGGATTTGAATCAATCAGATCAAGAAAGGTATCTAATTTCTAGGCCACAGATATAACATGGCATCAAATACCTCAAAAATATTCATGTATGAAATAACAGTTTTTGCCAAGGGGTAGGAGCGCAACCACTATCTGTGAACAAAGGCAAGAAGGTTCTATGACTATGTTTACCTTCTTTGAAATGAAGCTAATGAAATGCAATAGATTTCCAATAAAGATTTGTTAAATGAAGAATCTTCTATCTAGTTTATCTGGGATAAAAAGAAGTTACAGCTCCATGGAGTATTAGAGCTGGAAAGGACATTATGGTTCAACTTTTCATTCTGTGGATACGACGTCATTTTCAGAGAAGCTATGTGACTCACTCAAGGGAACAGAGTACATCAATAGTAGGGCTGAGATCACATTCCAGTCCTCCTCTTTTTCCTCCCCTGCATCCCCGCCATGTTTTTTTCCCAACCCGACAGATATGTCTGGGATTGCTCATGAATTAAAGAGTTTTAAATTAGTTTGGGAAGTCTAAAAACTTAAACATGCAAAGATAAATAGGATGAGAATGAGTTGAGAAATAAATTGCAGAATTTGGCTCATGGAAAAGTTTATTTCTTCAAGGATATTAAAAGGGTCTGAGCCAAAAGGATCATAGAGACTATAATAAGATGCTCTAAAAAAAGAACACTGTCTTTTCCTGGCCCCGCATGTACTAAATTTACATAGGAGGAAAACCCAAGGCTGCTGGGTTTCCTTGGAGCTCCGAATTGGCTCAGGGAAGCAGAGACCTCAGTACCTCCCGTTGAACACCATTCTGCATATCATACTTTAAAAAGGTCAAGAACAAACCAGGAGCAAACTTTACCAACTGATAATTGCATTGGGTAGAGATGTGGGGAGATGTCTGGAAATAATTTTACTCAAACAAGTGGTAGAACAATGCAGGATAATTTTAGCCAGAAACATCTCAGGGGAGAGTCTTGTTAATTCTACCTTCCACGTACCTCTCAATCTCAAAAACTTCTCTCCATTCTCACAGCCACTGACCTCAGCAGGCCACCATCAATCCTCCGCTGGATTTTGGCAACAGCCCCCTTGGTGCTTCCCTTCCTCCAGTAACCAAATCCCCTTGATCTCTTCTTCACAGAGCAGCCTGAGCAATCTTTATGACACGCAGGTTTAACCACATATCATGTCCTCATAAGGCACGTGGTTTTCTCACTGCCCTCAGTGTGAATCCTAACCCATCCTCATCTGGCCATTGTCAATCTCACTCGTCTTACCTTTTGTTTACTTGTAAGACATTTAAAGGAAGTGCCTTATGATTGCCACTGTTAATGGGTTCCACCCACTATCAGACTCTTCCCTGCTCAGGGGTGTCTCCCAGGCTTCCCAAGGAACCAAGCATCACTGTGCTTGTTAATTCTACCTTCCAGGTACCTCCCAAACCTGAAAACCCACCTCTGCCTTGTTTTTCATGTCTGTTACAGCCACACTGAGCTTTTGCTTATGCAGGTTAAATCTATTAGTAGTTTTTGTATTATAAACTAAAGCTATGACATTTTAAAATTTAATAAAACCTAAGAGTGTGTTTCATTAGCTATCAGAGCACAAAGGACATACCATGTCGTGTGCCTATCCGATAACTCCACTGGACTCTCATGAGAGAATGAGAGTGGAAAAAGCAGATGATGTCATATGTATTATTATGAAAATACTTTTGACTTTGAGGACACCTTAAAAAAGCCTCCAGGAACCCCATAAGCCTCTGAACTAGATTTAGAAAACAGCCACTCTGTGAACATACCAAGCTTCTTTCACATTCTCAAATGCACCTTGTTAATAGTGTTGTGATATTTTGTGGGAAGACTAAGTCTCCAATTCTGCATGAGGTCCCCTTCTTATGAGCCCCCGGCATTACTTGGCACTTCTATTACCATAAGCCTGTTCACACTGAATGGCAATTGCCCATTTACTTATCTGACTTCCCTAGCAGACAGTCAGCACCGCCTTGCCAATGTGCCTGAGACAGTGCCCAGCATATCGTGCCTGTTTGTCACTAGTGAGGCGAGCTCACTAGATACAAGTATGCAAAATGCTGTCAGGTGGCAGAGACACACATTCTCTGTGACAACCCAGAGTGGGTTCAGTTTGGGTGGAAAAATTACAATTGCAGACTTCAAGAACTTTCTAAAAAAACTGGAGTTTGAACAGGCACCAGGAAACCTCAGTGAGGATGCACATAGAGGGGATTCCTGCATTTGGGGGGAGCCCAGGCCGGATGACCCCTGGCATCTCTCTCAGGTCTGACAGCCTGTGAATCTGTGAGGCTGAACTGAGGGCTTTTCCCAGACATCCCTCTTGCTTTACATTCCAGATGGATTTGTTTAGACTTCCCAAGTTTGACTCTCATTTTTATTTTAAGCTACTTTAAAAAATAAAGTGCAGGGCCGTCGTTTCACTTTCCTCTCTGATCCTTCCCCCTTGCTTTATTCTATCTCTGGCTTTTTCTTTTCAACCTTCTTTCTAAAAATATAGAGGATAGCGGAGGAGTTCTCACTGGTGTTCAGTGAGAAGACTGATTCCGCTCCCTCTGATGCGCTGGTGTAATAGTGTCCTCACCCAGTGACTGCTGGCATGAGCTGACCTGCCGAGGAGCAAGAGGGACTGGCTGGGGGCAGGGTCTATGTGTACATCCCCAAGGACCAGGGAGGGGGCGATGGAAGACTAAGAGGAAAATATGGAGCCTCTGCAAGACCGGTTCTGAGCCCAAGTGACAAAGTATGACAACAAGCATTTGGCAAAAGGTCTTCTTCTGTGAATTTCAATGATGATGTAAGAAAGCACAGAGATCATTGGTTCCTTGGGAAGCCTGGGAGACACCCCTATGCAGGGAAGAGTCTGAGAGTGGGTGGAACCCGTAACAGTGGAAATCATATGGCACTTCCTTAAAGTGTCTTACAAGTAAATAGATCCCAAAAAGAGGGTATATGGAAGAAATTAAAAGGAATACTTGCAACACATGTGAAAGTGCTCTGTGTAGTCTAAGAAATAACAGAAGAAGAATCAAAGACTACTGATGCCTTGAAGCCCCAAAATATTTGTATTGACTCTAAAGTGGCCTTGTTTGTAACCACAAGCAGTGGGGGTCTGAAGGATATATAAATACCCCAGGACATTGTGTTTTTATCAGGAGCGTGGCCTTGGCACTTCTTAATATCTTAGTGCCTTTGTTTTCTCATATGTAATATGAGAATAACATATTAGGATGCGGCAGGTGCTCAAAAAGTATTTGTCAAATGGATAGGTGCTTGACTACTAACCTTGCAGGATGATGTTAATCAAATCAAATGGTACATGGGAAAGACCAGTAAAAATCATAAAACTCCATGAAAGAGCTGTTCTTTGCACACTCCACTTGTCAATGAGCTTCCACAAGGCTGGCTTACCTTCTGCTTCAGGAGGGCTCCAGTGTCCCGATGGGCTGCAGGGCATTGGGGAGGAGGCGTTGAAAGCATACTGCACCAGGATTCTCCCCTCCAGGCAAAGATCACATGCTGATCCCAATTCTCTAGGAGGCCAAGGAAAGAGGGAAAATGCACCGGCTTAGGAACAATTGAATGGGCAACCGATGGGACTAGAGTCAATTGAGCAGAGAACACAGCAAATTTGTGTTTCCCCCTTTTCTCCTACATATGCCAAGGCTTCTGGAAATAACTGTAAGTGAAATGCCTCTCCATTGCCCAGCAAGAGCCTCATTTGGGCCTAAGTGGTTTATGTTCTGATGATATATAGATTTCTCTGAATTTTAGCAGCACAAAGTCAACAGGCTGACAACTTACCACCTGCAATAATTTTAATTTTATCAGTCATGTAAAGCTCCACTGAGGATTTGCAATGTAGTTATGAGATAATCCTTTGCTCCATTTTGTTCTCAAAGTTTACTCCTTTTACAATATTTATTAGGTACCTACTATGTGCCAGACACCATCCTGTGTTTTAGGCATTAAATATAAAGAGGCCATGGTTCCTTCATCTGAGAGTAAGAGGGCTGGATTACATGACGCCGAAAGAACCTTCCAACCTTGACATTCTGTGGATGGATGAGTCACTCCTCAATTTTACAGTCAAAAGCAGTTTCTCTACCATGCCATCTAATTGATTTTAGCAGCTTTCCAAGGGGCTAGCCAATTCCTCAATCGGACCAGTCCCAGAAGTGGAATATTATGATGGCTTCCCCTACCAACTTGTCTCTTGTGTATCTGGATCCAATCTTCCTTTGGCTATAGCAGTCTCTGGGATCCTACTTATTTTCCAGATTTGGCATCTGTTTATGACGTGGTTGAGGAGAACGGAGAGGAATGAATCCTCTTCTCCTGTCTTATTGTGAACCAAAAACTGCAAATCTGAGTGACCTCTGCAGAGGGACTGGAAACTAAATCTTGAGAAGGTGTCAAGAAATGTCCCAGCCCAACCCATTATTTCTCAAAGTGCAATGGTCCTGATGATAACTCTTTCATCACTCCTGGAAGAATCTCTGTGCTTTGGCTACCTGAAAGGATGCAATGGAGAAACCAGGTCTGAAGCATTATGGCTTTTCCCTTACAGGGACATTCTCTATGCCTCTAAGCTCACACAGTCAGGAACCATGCGCTTGTGAGCATCACAGTGTGCTGCTGCTCCCCTGTTCCACCTCCACACCGCTGACAGGAGATCATCCCCAAACCTCAGGATGAACAGGTCATGCCCCTGCTTACATCGCTTGTTACCCCCTAATGCCCTGTGATGTGGTAGTCAATGCTCTTTCATACTATCCTCTGCTTCACTCTAGCTTTGTTTCTCTCCATGATAAGCTCTGCCTACCTATCATGCTGTGTCATGTTACCCACATTCCCTCTGCAGACTTTTTTCACTTTGGTGATGTTTCTCCTCTTTCAAGTTCACCTTGGACATCATCTCCTTGTGAAGACGTGTTTTTTGGCATGCAAGAGAGTTTCCCCCAACAGATTGTGAGGTCATTGAGGACAAAGTAAATATCTAATAACTATCATTTTTTTCTCTCAGGGTACAGCACACAATTTGTTTTATACTGTTGGTCAGTATAAGCAGTTGAATGGATGGATGGATGGATGGATGGATGGATGGATGGATGGATACCAGTCATTTAGGCATGTGCTAATATTCATGAGTAACCTAGTGCAGACCTTCAAATTGTAGATTTTGCATTCTCAACCTTATCACTGTAAATGTGAAACCATCTTGTTTTGCAAGCACAGTAATATTAATATTTGGTGATAAGAGAATCATTAAATAGCCCATGGTTAATATGCTTAATGGAATGGCAAGCTGTTATTGCAGAAATATTTATAAAGATTATGCAACTTCATGGAAAATGTATAAGCTATTATAATAAGTGAAAAAGTCATACCCAAATCTAAATCTACAGCAGTATCTCAATGTTCAAATAACCTTTTGAATCAAAATATTATCAGGAGCAATTTCTGGGCAATGGAATATAGGATGATTGATCCCACCCTGTATTATTACACTTACTGGTTTTCTAAATTTTCTACATATTTTAAATGCATGAGTTACTCTTGGAGTAGCAATAATAACAATTATACAAACATATTCATATGCAGAAAAGCAGGAGTGGAGAGAGAGACTTTCTTAGCACTGCTAATGAAAAAAGAGTTCTCTTAGGATGACCACAATCCATGCATAGTGGCTCTGAGTCACATGACTGGATTTAGGTTGACACTGGGATTACAGATGTCCTGGGATGAATTTGGTAACCATGCTGACCTTAATGGCCATTCATTCTTTCTTTCTGTATCCTTTAGATGTTTTATTTTGGGTGATACACATAAAGCCACCTGAGTTTCAGTGAATTCTTGATACATCTTAGGCTCCCAATAAATACTTTGATGAGTGAACAAATCATCATCGAGCTGACAGCAAAGGTATGCTGTCCTACACATGTAGGAATTATATGTGTTTCCTACCTTTGGCATTCATTTTCTCTTCATGGATACTTATACTTACACATAAACATACACAAACATACACAATGAAATCATAGACATGCAGGATACCAAAGCTGGGAGAGCTCATCTTTCTTCCTTGGGTTACATGAAAATCAAAGCTTAAAGTTCTAAGTATGGGCTGTCCAATATGGCAGCTATTAGGCATGTGTGGCTATTTAAATTTAATTTAATTAAAATTTAAAAATTTTTGAAATTGACTTTTCAGTCATACCAGTCACATTTCAAGCCCCAGTTGGCTAATGGCTATAATCTTGGTGCTAATATACAATATTTCCATTATTGCAGCAAATCCTATTGGACAGTGCTTCTCTAAGGCATCCATTGTATATAATAAATTAACTTGTCTCCTATGAAGCTAAAATGGTACTTATTGTGTAGTACCTTTGGGAGAAATTAGGAAATAGTTACTCAAATCATTTTCCATGTCCTAAAATTTAGAAGAGGAACCTTGGTTGAGAAAGGCTAGGACATCTTTGGCTTACAGATCAGAAAGCTGAGGCCAAAGGCAGGGGGAATGGATGAGGTCACAAAGACTTCCGACCCAGGTCTCTTGGTTTTCAGTCCAGTACTCCTTCCAACACACCATGGCCAATTTTAGATAACTGAAACCACTCAGTCAACACGTGTTTGCAAGACAGATAAAAATAAAGCAGTTAGGAAAACTAGGAGGGCTGTAACAAAAGAGGTTTCCAAGTTTCTAATAACAAAGTGAATCTTAGCACCCATTCACTTAAAAATATTTATTATTTATTCATTTCTATTAGCAATTTTTTTTATTCCCTGATGCCAAATTTACAACATGCTTATATGTGCCAGTCACTGTGCTAGGTGGCAGAGATATCTTTTGAACAATAACAAGAAATACCGCAAAATCCGTCTCCAAGTCTGCTTCCCTTCCAAGTTTTCTTCTTCTTGGTAGGAGAGAGAGAAGGGAATGAGCACTACACAGAACACACTCACCTTTCAAAGAAATGGCCATCTATGGGTGGGAACCACTCCAGTGTCACAGAGTCCATTGTGTGACCCACAACTTGGGGGGCGAGGGGAACAGGCGCCGGTTTCCTGGAGGGCTGCCAGCTCTGGTAGATCAGGTCCAGGTAACAGTGCATTCTGGCGACTTGATTGGGCGTGAAGGAGTCTGTACAATCGTCATCTGCAAGCAGGCAGAGGGACAGATAAGCACCAAGCCACGAGGGCGGGCAGGTATGTGAGAGAGTTATGACGGCTCCTGGTGGCGCGAGAGCCAGCACCCAAGTTGTTCCTTGCCAACTCACGGCTGGCCTCTTTCAGCGCTCAAGAGTTAATGGCCTGTGAACAAATTAGTGTAGTCATCACTTCTGGAGACAGGTGAGAGGAAACAGGAGGGAGGGGAGGGTGGATGGAACTGAAACAGTATGGCTGAGACTGGGAAGAGAGCAGCCCAGAGGTCATGGCAAAGGACACAGGGAAGATGAGCTATTTTCCACGGGCCTCGAATCCACTGGGCACTAAGTCAACAATCCCATTACTCCCTACCTCCCTCACCCTCCACTCAGTATCCCTCATTTATTCATTCATTCATTCATTCACTTGTTCATCCACTCACTCATTTACTCATTCTTTGATTCACTCGCTGGTTCCGATTCATTCCTTCACATTCTTTCACCCATTCATTCATTCATTTCACTATTAACTGATGCAGAGATACTGCCCTTCAAACAAACGTTCTGAGAGTCTACTACATTTCTGCTCTGTGCCAAAGGGCATAGAAAGATGAAACTTTAAAAGTTCCTGCCCATGAACAGGTACCAGTCTAGTTAGGGAGTCAAGATCAGTCCAATGTATAAGTCAAGGTTGTTACAAGGCTGCGAAAGTCTGTGATGTCAATCACTGATAAAGGGAGGAAGACAGCATAGGTTGGGTAGGGGGCGGGGGTGGGGGAGGAGGCAGGAGAAGGCAGGAGACCAGGAAGGCTTCTAAAGAAGGAGATCATTGAGGCTGATCAGATCGCATGGCTAATATTGGAAAAAAAAGGAGAGGGACTGCAGGAGAAAGTGCTGCATGACTACAGAGGCTTGGTGCCTTAGGCAGAGAGCACAGACCAGGGAGTCAGGCAGACCTGGGAACAAGCCGGGGTAGTGTGCGTGTGGAAAACATGAGCAGTACCATCTCCCCTCGGTGCTGCCATTGGTGCGCTATGCTTCAGACACGTTAAACCCCTTCCCTTCTCATGAGTTTTGGAGCACATACTACTATTTTCCTCATCTTACAGAAGAGGATATTAAAGCTGAAAGAGGGTAAACAACTATTTCAAAACCACAAAGCTGGGGATACAACTGGGATTCGAATCCAGGCAGTCCTGACTTCAAGGCTGTGCTTCTGATCAATATGAGAACTTATTTTCAAGCATAAATGAGATGTTGCATGAATGTAAAATCCTGTAGGTGGTTGATAAATGGGAGTTGAGCCTGAGTCTAAGGGAGCTTGGAACATAATGTCTCAGGTGTCTTTAGATGTAAGGACCTTTGATCCTACTCTCCCTTTTCCAGAGTGTGACCTAAGACCTGGCCCTGAGGGAGAAGGCTTGCTTCCCATTTCTCTCTCCAACAGTTTTATTTAACTGCCCCAGGGGAGCGCAAGGCACTGTTTTGGCTTGGTTTCCAAAAACACCACTTCCCAGAGGTGTCCACCCAGTCAGGGAGCCCGTAGCTAGGCCCCAGACAGAGGAGCAGAGGGCTCTTCTGATCTTAAAATAAACCGGCTACTGGGAATCCTGTAGTATATACTGGTTTCTTCTTATTACACAAACATTAAATACATTTGGGCAGGGGCTGGACAGTTGGACAGGGTCTTGAGAATCCAGCTTAGGAAAGGGGCAGGGGTGTGAGGGAGGTTCTACACAGAAGCTACCTTAAATCCCCTTTCCAGCACTCCAGGGAAGTCTTTAACATATTTGGAGAAGCGGAAGAGCCCAGTGTCTCTTACCAAACACAGTATAGCTACTAATCCAGTAACCAGATGCCACCATATAACTCCTGAATACCAAACATTCTATGGCTCCCTATTGTGGGGAAAAATACCTCAGTCTGAAAAGGGTCAGATCATTCAATATCTTTTTCTTTGTTGCCATGAACTTTGGACTTCCTCTTGAAAGCCTTGGAAAAGATACCGAATAGGTTAGATGCAGGAGAAGGGCATGATGGCTAAGGGGAGAAGTGTGGCCATGTGATTATATCAGTGCACACAGAATCTATGGAAAAGTGATTTTCTGCCCCCAGTGCCTCAGTTACCCCATCCGTGAAGTGAAGACAGTGATGATAACGCGATTGCTCAACTCAAAACACGGCCAAGGTGCAGGGATGTGGGGCACTAAAAGCGATGCCTGTCCTGTGATAAATGTTAGTAAAAGGAATTGGAAATAGTGTGTGTGTTGGCATGTGTGCATATATGCTCATTATATGTGAGTGCTGGAAAACTAAAAGAAGGAAAAAAATACAGAATATAAAATACTCGTTCTCTTTGATCTAACAATAAGGAATTTATGGATTCAAAAGATAGACACTCTTGGATAAACATGGGTAAAATATACATACAAGGATGTTTCTTGAAGCATAATTTATAATAGTGAAAATATTAGAAATAGCACATCTGTTCATTCACAGGGAATTGGCTGTGTACTTTAAGGCACAGGCATAGAACAGAATACTAATCAGCCTTGACCAAAACATGAGATAATTTTAAGACTCAGTTCCGTTGTGTACAAATTGGGGGCATTTAAATAAACGCCAACCCATGGAGTTGTGAGGACTCAATGAGCAAGGGCAAAAAAAGCATTTACCAAGATGAATGATGCTGAAAAACAGTAGTTTTTTTCCTGTATAAACTTCTATTTTACTTGCTTCCCCCATCCCTCAAAAGTGTGTTTTTTAATAACTTACAAAGTAACCATTTTCACATTTGTCAATAAAAAGAAAGTCTGAAAAAAATGGATAGGTGATGGAACCTGGTAAGGAGACAGGAATGTATTTGAACTTTAAAACTGAAGTCAAAATCTATCCCAGGGTACATTACTTGGAGATTTCGCAGCTATCAGAATCTTGGGAGAGGTACCAAAGGGTTTCTCATTTATCACAAAGCTCTGTCTCAATTAGCTAATGCCTAGAGTCAGCCCCGCGTGGCTTCCTTTCCTACCAATGCCTTCCCTCTCAACATCTATGGCCACTTCATCTGGTCTCTCCTCTTGTTCTTCTGTCTGCATGTTGCCCCAAAGCACAAAGAACTTTGGGACTTCAGCACCAATAAGCCCAAGCCAGCCCCCATGCTGTTGATATGGTACCCTGGGTTTGGTTTGCTAAGTGAACCTCATTCTCAAGAACAAATGTTAGTCTGTGACTGAAAGGCCACACTGCATGGAGGTTCAAGGCATGAACTCCATGGCTTCACTCCATGCGGGACCTTGGGCACAATGCTGACCCCCCTGCCAACCACATTTTCACTCACCATAAAATGAGGAATAAGATGTTACCTGCCTCATAAAGCTGATGAGGGCATTTAACAAGCTAACTAATGTCTAGTGAATGGATAACTAAGTTGCCTTGTGTAAAACTCCCTGTCTTTTTGTTGTTTATTTAGAATAATGGTAATAATCATAGTCATAATAATAGATGTAGATAACATATTTGTAATAAAAAAATTCACTGTAGAATATCTGGAATATGTCAGAAATGTTACAAAGAAATAAACATTACTCTGAACTCATTATCAATAGATAATAAAACTGATGTCTAATGTATATGTGTGTATATGTATGTATATAGATGTTTGTATATGGATGTAAATATCTATAGTAAACTTCTGTAATTCTTATCATCACATACATATACACAGGTCTTATACTATATATATTTGACTTTCTGACCTTTCCACATTAAATATTCAACAAATAATCCCATGAATCATCCTTTATTGAGCACTAATTATGATACCAAGGACAGTTTGTGTTTTTAACTTTCATTTTAAGTTCAGGAGCACGTGCAGGTTTCTTACATAGGTAAACTTGGGTCATGGGAGTTTGTTTTATAGATTACTTCATCACCCAGGTATTAAGGCCAGTACCCATTAGTAATGTTTCATGATCCTCTCCTTCCTCCCACTCTCCACACTTTGATAGACCTTAGTGTGTGCTGTTCCCCTCTATGTGTCCATGTGTTCTCATCATTTAGCTCCCACTTATAAGTGAGAACATGCAGTGTTTGGTTTTCTGTTCCTATGTTACTTTGCTAAGGAAAATGCCCTCCAGCTCCATCCATGTCCTTGCAAAAGACATAATCTCATTCTTTTTTATAGCTGCATAATATTCCATAATATTTATACCTCATTTTCTTTATCCTGTCTATCATTGATGGGCATTTAGACGAACAACGGTACAAAGTGCTTTACTTGTACCATTACCCCTACAATCAGGCAAGGTAAGTATGCTTATCCTCAATGGTATTAATGGAATAATTGAGGTTCAGAGAGGAGAAGCAAACTGCCAGAAATCAAAGCTGGGGCACGGAAGAGTCAAGTTTCGTCCCTCACTCCAAATGTCATGCTCCGAACTACCATGTTACTCAACTGTTCGTGTCCTTCGACGGTCTTCTCTACCATCTTCAGTTGCCCTATAATGTCCAATCACATGAATACCTTGCAGTTTATTCAGCAGTCTATTATCTTTGGGTTTGTAAGCAGTTTCTCATTATTCACACATGTTTTTCCTCTATACCCAGCATATAGTAAATGCCTTATAAATATTTAGGAAATGAATATCATTAAGAACATTCTTTTTCTTTTTTTGAGATGGAGTTCACTCTTGTTACCCAGGCTGGAGTGCAATGGCACGATCTCGGCTCACTGCAACCTCCGCCTCCTGGGTTCAAGCAATTTTCCTGCCTCAGCCTCCTGAGTAGCTGGGACTACAGGCATGCGCCACCATGAAGAACATTCTTATGGTTAAATCCTTAAGTATACTAATTGATTTATTTGCTTTGGATATATTCCTTACAAGTGGAATTGCTGGGTCAATTTATGTGTGGATATTAAGAAGCCATGACACACAGAAACATAGGGTCAAGACACTTGCTTCTACAGGCTAGAGAAAGCCTGGTTTCCTACACTTTTGAGGACCACAGTGCCCTCCTCCAGAAACTCTTGTAGCCAGTTATCTCCAGTAAATGGAACTGAGTCTGCTGCTCTTTTATCTGCTGGGGGCTTATCCAAGAGTTCAACATAACTATTCTCCTCTGGAGCTCTGTCCAGCCTGCCTATTAAAATAGGCTTCCCCCCATCACCTGCCTGGTGCCTCTTTGATCTGAGCATCTGGGGCCCTCTCAACCTTCCCCAGAACCAGAAAATGAGGCAGATAATTACTAGTTAATAACACAGGCGCTGCAGCAAGAAAGGCTTGGGTCTAGGTTTCACCTTTGCCTTATTTCATCTTTGTGATGCTGGGCAAGATACTTATGCTACCTGAACCATATTTTCTGCATCTGTAAAACTTGTGCACCTCCTTGGGCTACTTAAGTTTCATACAGTGTCCAGGATATCATACGTACTCAAGAACTACTGCAGGCCTGAGCTAACCATTATGGTGGCCACCAGCCCGTGTGGCTCTTCTGATTTCAATGAGTTAAAATAACTTACGACTGATAATTCAGGTCACTAGTCACACTAGTGGTATTTCAATTGTTCAGTTACCATACCGGCAATACAGGTAGTGGGTACCATACTGGCCAGCACAGATACAGACTATGTCTATCTTCATAGAAAGTTCTGTTGGCAGTGCTGCATTACAACCCTTTACCCTACCAGTGATGGCCTGAGGAAGAGGCACTCGGGAAGATAAAGCAACAAGAATTGGTCCCAGCAATGTCTTCACCCACTTGTCTTGATGAGACGGCTCCCATGTATTGCTCTACACATCCCTGAGAACCCAATGCTGTTCTGCAGTTTGAATTTCATCCAGCTGCTTTTGTCACCTCATCTATCAGAAATCCTAAGGAAAACAAATATTTCAAAGCACGTGGTCGCCTTGAATTTGCTTTTGTGGGTGTAAGTTTGTTTTCGTAGCTCAGTGAATTAGTTCTGCTGTTAATGCATCACTGAGCTGAGGGGTTCCTTTAAAAAAAACAACAAAGCAATCACCCTTTAGATCTGTACAATGAGGGACAAAAATATTTAGTTTATGGGGGTCTGGTAACTAGCAGCAGCTCCTAGGCCCCTAAGAGGCCGGCAAACTTCCAAACTTATGTTATTGTTTATTTTCCATGTGCGTTCGGCTGGCCAAGAAAAGGTGCTACAGAAGTGGAATGGAAGCAGGGCTGTGTAAGGGGATAGGGCACAGGATGTGGAGTGTCAGCTTGGCTGGGAATGGAAGCCCAGTGGGAATCTGCTTTTCAGGAAATACCCAGCATCCTGGTCTTTTTTGAGCACTCAAATCTAAGACTATGGTACCAGAGGTGGGTTATTGACATTTCGATTCAGATTTGGACTGCATGAACCTTATACTGGAGAGGTCCCCAGGGGTCATCACCCCAAATGGACGAGCAGAAAGGACCAATGGGGATTATAGAATCCTTTGGGTTCCAGCAGCAAATTCCATTCTTCAAATGAAATGAGGCAAAACCTCAACAGAAATGTGTAAGTCGGAAAGGGGGTGTATTTTCCCTGGCTCCAGCGAAATGAGAGCCTAAAGCCCTACTCATATAGCCATCAGGGCAGTTCCCTGAGGCATCTCTGTGGAAGAGAGTGTAAAAGCCACCCAGATTGCTCAATTTCCCCACTCAACCATCAGCTAGCTCTCTTTAGAAGAGCCATACAAGAGTAAATGACAAAAATGCAGCTGGGCGTGGTGGCTTACGCCTGTAATCCCAGCACTTTGGGAGGCTGAAGTGGGCAGATCATGGGGTCAGGAGTTCAAGACCAGCCTCGTCAACATGGTGAAAGCCCGTCTCTAATGAAAATATAAAAATAAGCCAGGGGTGGTGGTGGGTACCTGTAATACCAGCTACTCAGGAGGCCGAGGCAAGAGAATCACTTGAACCTGAGAGGCAGAGTTGCAGTGAGCCGAGACCATGCCACTGCACTCCAACCTAGGCAACAGAGTAAGACACCATCTCAAAAAAAAGAAAAGAGAAAAATACGTGGAGTCAGATATGTGACTAGCACAAATGACTTCAGTGAGCTGAGGCTCAATGCTGTCATCTGTAGAGTGGGAATAGTTCTGACTCCACAGATTAACTATGCTCTCAGTTAAATGAGAGAGAGCATATTGGCCTTTAAGGACAATATTTTGTTACATGAGTAGAGATACTGCTTTTGATAAGAATCAATTTTATATACCTATTATAAGATAATGTATTCATTTTCCTCCTTCCTTCCCTCCAACCCTCCCTCTCTCTTTCCTTTCTTTCTTTACTTCTTCCTTTCCTAACAAACATTTATTAAGGACTGGCCCCTGTGCTAACTTCTGAGAACAGAGTGATAGACAATCTGTTGTTAGATGCAATCTTTGCCTTGATAGAATTTGCTTGTTCTAGTGGGGAAAGAGACATCAAGTTGAGTATGATCATAGAATTTGATGCTGGCTTGCCATGTGCAGTTGTGTGGATTGTGACTAACACAAAATCTCTTAGCTGAAGGTGAAGTGGTAAGGGCTATGACAGCCCTGAGGAGGGGGTGTCTTGTTCTAATTTGCCAAAGGTGCTAAAAGGGCTCAAAGGCCTTGATGTATCCTGTGCTAAAGGGAAGTACAGGGCATCCCCCAATGCCCCTAACACTGTTATGTTACTAATGATATACAAAAGGACTATGATAAGAAACATGCAATTAGGAAAAAAAAATCATACCCAATCTCATGTCATCATTTTCTATTTGCAAAATCCACAGCACTCTTACTGTTCTTGCAAAACATAATAGAAGGGAATGTGAGAGTTTTATGCTTATCTGAGGGACACATGGGTTAAATAAAAAAGGTTCAACAACCACCAGTTTAGAAAATTGTGCTGCAAATTTAGGAAGGATCTTGCAGAGGTGAGTTCAATTATTCCATGTTCTTAAGAAAAGTGAAACCCAGAAAGAGAATGACCCAAAGACATCAGGTGGCTGAGTTGCAGAGCTCGGCCTTCCATCCATTGAAAAGGTACGTTGCTCATTCGAGGCTCCCCTGAGCCAGGATTAAATCCCACATTTGACATCCAGTCCTGTTCACCCCACAGAGTGTAGGGCCCTACCTGCATAGCTCATGAAGTTGTTGTAAGGAGTGTCGAAGAAGCTATGAAAGCCACAGGTGTCATTTCCTGGCTCTGGGTCACCGCAGGACTTGTGTTTGGGGACTGGGTTGGTATCATTGCAGAGGTCTCCAGTCTCGAAGGAGGGCTCTGTCTCCATGCAGGGGTCGCTGCAGGACTGGATTTCTGAGATGCCTCGGAAGACGTGATAGAGGCCCAGGCTGTGACCAATCTCATGGATCATGGTGTGGGTGTGCCCAGGCACGCCATAGAAAGATGGGTTCAAGACAATGCCACCTGTAAGGGGAAATCCAGGGAATCAGGGAAGCTCGGTACTCTGCTTCTTGGTGCAATCACCCCCAAGTCTACCCAGGAGAAAGAGATGCTGCCCAAAACAACCACAAGCTCCTCCACCCTATGACTCCATTGCCCTGAGAACTGTTACAAACTGTGACATAATCATGAGCTATCAGAGCAGGAAGTAACCTCAAAAGTCATTTTCTACAATTCTTCGTTTTTCATATGAAAACACCAATGCTTAAAGAGGTAAAGGCACTTAGCCAAGGCGATTTCAAACTATTTCAATGGAGAGCAATTCGGAAACTCTGATTTCTCGGCCAGTAAACCTTTCTGCTGCAACCTTTCCCTTAGAAAGTAAGGCCTATCCTTATTTCCAAATATTCTATATATTATTGTCTAGACAAAGCTCCCAGGTTCAGACATCTTGGTTCTGGTTCTCATTTTGCCTTCACTAACTCTGGGACATTGAGTGGATTAATTAGCATCTCTGAATCTCATATTTTCATCTCTGATGCTGTGAGAGCATGAAAACTCATGTAGTTTCATACTAGCTAATGCCTCTTAAGGAGAACTCTTAATCAATGTTCTATTGTTAATGACGATCAGGGCCTGGAGTAGAGTATCGCATTAAATGTGTCTTGAATATTTGCTGTGTAACTCACCTAAAGAAGTTTGAGAGGTTTAACTAATCTAGTGTGAGCAGCTACAATAGCACCTCCATACATCAAGTGCATCACCCCAGACCTACAGAAGCACAATCTGATTTTAAAAACAGGATTGAATGACTTGTCTGTATATTCTGGTTTGAGAAGCAATGGACTATACCACACGCCTCCGAAGACTGAGCATTGCTTAGCTTGGGGAGATAGAACAGATCTAAGCAGAATCCATGGGTAGTATTTGTGCTGTGTTCATTTTATGAAAGATGCATATGGGCTGGCAGAGAGATATTTAAACTTTAAAATTTGAAAGTGTTTAAGGGAAGGTTGAAATCAGGTCTGTGAACCTTGAAAGTAGGCACTTTAGGTGTAGGGCAGCATCTTATGAAAGAATGGTGAGGAGGTAGGTCCTTGTTGATTTGAAGTGGCAAGCCCCACATGGGCTTGAGGAGAGTTTTATCTTAGACTGAACCTCTGGAACGGCTGTGCCTGCTCAGTCGAGGTGCTAACGGAGTCTATGTAGAGGGCTCTGATTTTGAAGAAGGGCTCAGGGTTTGGGTCCCTGGAGGACTTGATTTCTGAGGTTGAATTTCTGAGCAATTTTGAATTGCTTAGAGCTTTTCTAACATGAAGACAAAGATGTATGAGGGGGCATGTGAGTGTGTGGGTGTGCACATGCACATGGGTATGAGAAGGGGGCAGGCAGAGGCAGGGAGGAAGAGAAATTGAGACAGGAAATCGTTCTCAATTATTTTCTGTCAATTATAACATGAAACACAATCCACTTCACACCCAAGGCTTTTTTCCAGGGATCATGGTATAACAGCAGAAAAAGAAGGTAAAAAAATATGGTTGTAATAAATTGGGTTTGATTGGGGCTACTGCAGAGAAATTACTTATGAGCAGCACCTCTCAGGATGGGGAGAGGGCAGCCTGGAGTCCAGCCGGAGTTAGCCGACAAGGGTTGCAATCCTCGTTCTGCTTCACACTGGCCTTGTGACTGTGGAAAAAGGACTTTGCATCTCTGGTGAGCTCTAAAATAAGCAGCTACAATAATGCCAGCAATGCTCTGTCTCCCCATGAAGCTTCATTATTAAGGTAATGAGAGGACAGGGCCATTTCAGGGATGAAAACTGGATTGCAGACTTAATGTCTAAGCTAGCCCTGTTTGTTTTACCTCGTCCCCTCCCAACTCACACCTTTTCACAGAGTGACAGCACTTGCGCCCCAGTCCTGTTTCATTGCTTCTCTTATAAGGTGAAACAGCTTGAGCCTGACATCATCCTGAAGTACTATAACATGCTACGGATTTATAGCCTCTCTTATTCCTGGCCCTGAGCCAGTCTCTGAAATTTATGGAATTATCAGGAGTATTTTTTTCTAACTGTACATGTCTGCTGTTCAACCATTCTCAGATTCTGATCATGGCCCTTCCAGTTGCTTTTCTAATAGGACAGAATTTCAGAACTGAGAAGGGTCCTTAGGGTCTTCTGGCCTCCTAGGACCTGCTTATTTAATATTGAAGGACACTGAGACCTGAGGAAGGGAAGAGAATTGCCTAAGGCCATACTCTAAGTCAAGTCACAGTTGAGAACAAACACGAATTTTGGCTCTACATCATATACTAGGTATGTGATATAAGCTGGTCATCTTCAAGATTGCCTAAGCTGCATGCTGTCTTCTTAGGAGTTCTTACGACCCCGTCTGTCTGTCAGTCTGCCTATTTATCTACCCATTCATCATCTATCTCAGGACTTCTCAACCTCAGCACTACTGACATTTTAGACTGCATAATTCTTTGTAGTGGACACTGTGGACATTGAGCAGCATCCCTGGCTTCTACCCACTAGATGCCAGTATCATTCCCCCATTTGTAACAAGCAACAATATCTCTAGATATGGCCAAATATCTCCTAGGGCATAAAATCCTCCCAGCTGAGAACAAGTGGATATTTATCTTTGTATTTATTTATACAACCACACACATGCACACACACACAAGCACACAAATTGGTTGCATTCTCTAAAAAACAATTGAGAAATGAGAGTCATCTGAAGGGAACTATGTCTATGCTTAATTCAGCAAGACTTCTATTATTTGAATCTCTTATTTCCAAGACAGCATAGCAATGGAGCAGCTACTGGACTCTGTTTCACCAGGAGACCAGGCAGGCTTGAGGATACATCCAGCACTGTCACTGCTGAGCCAGAACATTCTCAAATAAAGATGTTCACTGAGTCATCACGATTCATTCTTGTAAATAATGGGAACATTCTACCAAAGGGAAAATGGTTAAATAAATGGCAGTGCTGTTGTTCAAGGGAATATTATGTGGCTTTTAAAAATCTTGTCTTTAGAGAGGGGGAAATAACCCAGAAGGTTACTTTTCTTTTGTGATTTTAAATGGAAAAAAAAAAAGGGTGAGAAGTAAGGATAAGACTTCTGCGACATGGAAAAAAAAGTAGATAGCATAATATTAAATAAAAAAAATACACACAATTTCATCTATGCTGTGATTTTTAAAATGTACAGTTAAAGAAAAGCACGTCTACATATAGATGTGTTCTGGAAGAGGGCATAGAAAAAATAAAAGTAAAGAACTACAATGTTTGCTTACAGGGCATCTTTCAGAAACTGTTGTCATGTCTGACTTTTGGTGACTGGTTTGCAGAAACTTATGTCTTGTTTATGGATATGCATAATTTGACTGTAAGAAGAGTTCCTGTTGGTGTTGGTGGGTGGAACATGGAGGAACAAGGAGTTCTTACACACTCACTTTCTCTTGCCTCTTTGGTGTCTTTCAAGCCAACCCAGGACTGGCTGTGCCAGTACAGTGTGGTTACCAGACTGAGAAGACATTTGCAGGAACTAGGAGACAGAGGGTTTAAGGAGAAAGCAAACAATAGATAGTGCTGGAAACTTAAATTCCAATTGTGATTGTCACTGTCTTCTGTGTGATGTCGGATAAGCCCCATTTCTTCTTTGGGTCTCATTTCCCCATGGATAAAACATGGTTAATAATATGGTGCTATTTCCTTCAGAAAATTGCTTGGTGGTCAAAATAAGATAAAGGATACTAAAGAATTTTGTAAATTAAAGTGATAAATAAATGGGTTGCTCACCCTCACGACTACCACCACCACCATCATGATCATAATAATGATCGTATCGCACTGAATGTATTACCATCCTACTCCAGTTTCCCCTTGAAGAAGTTTCTAAGACTCACCTAAGTGCATTAGGACCTCTTTGTCCCATGGCCAAGTTGCTACTCCTGCTAACTCCTCTTCTGAGGAGTTTGCAAAGAAAATATTGAGATGTGTTGATCCATCCAATCTAAGAATGTTCTTCAGCTCATTAACATCCATGTAGGCTCTGAAACAGAAGAACTTTGATTGTTACCATACTCAAAATGATACTATTTAAATAACAGGCATTCTCCAAATGATTTAGAGCAACTATGTGTGCCAGGCACTTTCCTAAGCATGTTATAAAAACCACCTTATTGGCCGGGTGCACTTTGGGAGGCTGAGACGGGTGGATCACGAGGTCGAGAGATAGAGACGATCCTGGTCAACATGGTGAAACCCCGTCTCTACTAAAAATACAAAAAATTAGCTGGGCATGGTGGCGCATGCCTGTAATCCCGGCTACTCAGGAGGCTGAGGCAGGAGAATTGCCTGAACCCAGGAGGCGGAGGTTGCGGTGAGCCGAGATTGCACCATTGTACTCCAGCCTGGGTAACAAGAGCGAAACTCCGTCTCAAGAAAAACCCCAAAAAACCAAAAAACAAAACAAACAAACAAAAAAACCACCTTATTGAATTCCCCCAATAATATAAGTAAGATGATTCCATTTTACACATCATAAAAATAAGTCCTTGAGAGTTTAAGAGACTTGCCAAAGTTGTTAGGCTTCTTACAAACACAGAGGTAGGTAGTATCATTATCTCCAGAGGCTCAGAGAACCTTCTTCAGACCTTAGTAAGTTCAAGCTGCTATTTGGCAGTGTTTTCCTTTTCCTTAATGCTGTCTCTACCCAGGAGCTCTCACAAAGCCCAGCAGTAGCACACTTTAATGATGGTTCTCTTCTCTTCCCCTCTTAGAATAATAGAAGAGCTTCCTCATCTATGAAAGACCAAGTCCAAGTTCCCAGCATGGCCTCCATGATACAGCCTACTCCTTAGCCTAATCTCTCTATATTCCCTCTCTTGAGTGTCCCACTGCATGCACTATACATCTCTGCACCATGTATAGTGCATGATCTCATTGGCACCTTTATTCATGCTGCTTCCTCTGCTGGGACTCTGATCAGCATTTTGTCCTGTGAAGAACAAATCCAAAGTCTGTTCTGGAATCCCTCCTCCAGGAATACTTCGCTGATGCTCTCCTCACTTGCACTCCTTTTAACATCTCAATACTCGTCCACCTCCTACTAGCAGTGCACTCTCTCTCATTTGCCATTTCAATTAATCACTTCCTCTGTCTGTTATATAATACACATTTGTGGCCACCTGGTGGGAGGGGAGTGCCTTATTCATCTCTGTTCACCCAGTTCTCAGCACAAAGATTGATACCTGGTGAACACTCAGTAGATTTTTGACAGAATTGAATTAAACTGGGAAAAGTAGGAGTAAAAATATTTAACTCTCAGTCTCAAATTTAGTAATTCCTGACTAATGGGGCCTCGGTTTTCTTATCAATACATTGAAATTAGTAACAGCTGCCTCGTGTTCCACAGAACATTTCTGTGGGTGGAAAACCTATGCCTCTACCCTGCTGTGAATAGGATATGTCTGAGACCTAGAGTGTCATGGCCGCCCATGTCACAGAAAGCCCCAAGCTCACGAAACCAAACATTCATGTGACCATAATTTGTACAACTTTTCACAAAAAACATGGGTTGGAGATATAGGTGGTGCCAGGAGAGTTTATATCTATGTCTAGGTTGAGCTGACTAATTCCAAGAATCACAAGCTCAAATATTGAACTGAAATCTCGCTGCTGAGCTCTTTTCTTCCTCCAGAGCCCACATTGAACTTCTTAGGCTGGAAGCCTCATGAGGGACTCTAATCAGTCTGCTCTGTCATCAGGGAAGAGAACGAGGAAGGAGAGAGTCAACATTTATGAAGCACTTGCTGTATACCAGACCCTGTGCTAGGTACACATATCTCATCCCCGTTAAGTAGTTGAAGCAATGCAACAGAGTGGGTGAGATGGCTCATTCTTTTTTTCTTTTTTGAGACGGAGTTTCGCTCTTGTTACCTAGGCTGGAGTGCAATGGCGTGATCTCGGCTCACCGCAACCTCCGCCTCCTGGGTTCAGGCAATTCTCCTGCCTCAGCCTCCTGAGTAGCTGGGATTACAGACACACGCCACCACGCCCGGCTAATTTTTTGTATTTTTAGTAGAGACGGGGTTTCACCATGTTGACCAGGGTGGTCTCTATCTCTTGACCTTGTGATCCACCTGCCTCGGCCTCCCAAAGTGCTGGGATTACAGGCTTGAGCCACCGAGCCCAGCGAGATGACTCATTCTTAAGCTACAGCCCTAGGTTTGAATCCAGCTCTTCCACTTTATGATTGGGTCACCCTGGGCAATGTACTTAACTTCCCGTGCCTCAGTTTCTTTATATACAGAATGAGGGTGATAATAATACCTACCCCATACAGCTGTTCAGAGGGTTAAGGTAGTTAATAAAGAGAGAGTAAAGGGCTTAGAAGAATGCCTGGCATGTAGAAAGCCTCAGCGCATGTTTATTCCTATCACTTATCCCCGTCGTACAGATGAAGGAACAGGGGTTCAGGGATCACACAACAGGCGACAAGGCCAAGTACAAATCTAGACGTGTCCAACTCTTCCCACAACCTCACCCTCATTTCCAAGCTCACTCAGGCCCACAGTGAAAAGGGAAACAATGCATGGGAGAAGAATGAAAACACAGAGGAGCCGACATTTTCTTGGATCAGCCCTTTCCACATAATTTATTATTTTCTAATTGATTTGTTCATTTCCATCAAATGTTCTCTCAGGCAGAGAACAAAAATGTTATTAGAGAAAGCCACCTCTGCCCATGGCTCTGAGATGAGAAAGCTTCCAGAGAGAAAAAGACAGGGTGGGGTAGGGGCAGGGGAGACGTTTTAATTGGTTGTTTATTCTGTGGTAATTGCAGAAGCCAATCTTTTCAAGAAGTGGTATTCATCCTAGCCCAAAGCAGAAAAATGGGATGTGGGAGGCTCTCCCTGGCTTGTACGTGATTTTTTCCCCCATACTTTGTGAAGCCTCCATTTCCCTGAAGGGGAAGAATCCACAGCAGCAATCCAGGCCCAGGCACCTAACCCTACTGGCTTCTCTCTTCCCTACCTCTCCTAGAGGGACCTACCAAAGGGAAACAAAAAACAGCAACAACACAGCTCTGTGGATGTAAGTTTTCCTTCTGTTGCCTGAAGTTTTTCCATTAATACAGAGCCAGGCTGGGTGTCTCTCAAATATATCAGGGGGAAAATCTTCAGGACAGTAATACATGTGGGTATTTACCTCCTTACCCTTATGCCTTGAAAGGATGTTTGCTTCCCTTTTGTCAACAAGACAGAAGAGAAAGCACAGGAGGTCAAATTCAGAAGAAACTACCGAACTACTTTCCTTCTCTCACCTTCACTATTCCTAGATAGCAGGTATAGTGAAGGTGAGAGAAGGAAAAGGGCCACATGACTTCCGTTTTGCAATTGTTGGGAAGGCTGGCCCTGTGCATACATTGTACATTGTTCAAATACACTTTAAAATGTAAGGGCTTGGTGTGGTTGCTCATGCCTGTAATCCCAGAACTTTAAGTGGCCAAGGTGGCAAGAATTATTGAGGCCAGGAGTTTGAGACCAGCTTCGGCAATACAGAGAGATCCCATTTCTACAAAAAATACAAACAATTCAAAAAATTAGCTGGGCATGGTGGCATATGCCTGTAGTCCCAGTTACTTTCGAGGCTAAGACAAGAGGATCACTTGAACCCCAGAGTTCAAGGCTGCAGTGAGCTATGATGGCGCCACTCTACTCCCACTTGGGCAAAATAGCAATATCCTATCTCTTAAAACAAAAACAAAAACAAACAAACATTATTTACTTCCCAGAAAAAATCAATCAAAATCCCAAAACTCACACAAAGTTGGACAGACAGACCTATATCTATGGAAAAGTTGTCTGTCCAACTCTGTGTGTGTATTAGTCTGTAGATTAATCCGTGTGTGTGTTGATCTGTAGCTTAATCTGTGTGGATTAATCTGCATAGAAGCTTTGCTACTCAGAATTGAACATATAGACCTAAATCTATGGGCAAGTAGGTTTGAGTATCACTTAGCTCAGGACGATACCAACAGGATTAAATTAGACAGCTCAGCACAGTCCTAGCACACAACTAGAAAATGTGAGCTTCCTGCCATATCCTGGTCTTCTAATTTCACCTACTGGGAAAGAACCTAAATGGACAGTCTGCCTCTGGGTGGCTCTCCCAGTCTCAGTTTTCAGTGTCTCTTCATTACCCTGCCTTCTTCCTCTTACAAACTCAACTACTCAAGTTATCTTGGTTTCCTTATTCTGGGAACCTTGAGTTTTCCTCAATTATGCCCAACCCCTAAGTATATCTATTAGTTTCCCTTCTCTGACTGGAAATACCTCTTCTTGATTCTTAGCTCTTGTAAATCTTACAATCCCTGCAAAGCCCAGCTTACATGTGATGCACTCTATGTATCCTCTTATGACTACCCTTGTCTGTAAAGTAGGGATGATGATGACCACCTGTCAAGAGTGTCATGAGGATTAGAGGCAACATAGGTTAAGTGCCTGGCATGGTGGCTGGCACAGAGAAGGCATCACTGATTAGGATAGGCTCCTTTTATTGCATTATTGTAGTAAAATGAAAATTATTAATAACACTCAAATCATCATCATCACCTCTATCTGAAAATGAATCCTTCCTCTGTCTTTTCCATCAGGTAATGAGCTTCTGGGAGTCAGGACCAAATCTTTATTATCTCTGTATCACTTAAAAGTATCCTGCAAGAGAGAACTACCACTGATGGGCAGCTACTGAGCACCTCTCTCTCAAATTGCATAGTTTCAAAACAGGATAAGCAAGCCCAGAGCTCAAGGAAGAGGAATGATTTGCCCAAGGTCAAATACCTAATACAGGGTATAGAAAAGGCCTAACAAGAAGCCTCTTTGCTCCAACCTGTGTACATGTCACTTGTGTATAACAGCAGTTTTGTATCACAAGTCAAGTCACCTCTTCCTTCAAGTGGACACAGTTCCCTGCAAAGGTGCATAGTTTAGAGAACGAGTAATGGGAAGGATGGCAGCCTCCATTCTCTCCCTCAGCTGGACACCTG